ATCTTGGAATCTGGCGTTTCTCGTTTCGACAAATAATTACGAAGCCCGGGTTCGAAACATAGTTGTAGTTTTGAGGGCGAGAAATGAACGGAAATTTCATTGTCTAATATATGCACGAATATACTTACGCGAAATAAATTAATTGCTAGAGAAGTGATGGCAAACAAAAGAAGGACACCATATGCGAGTGCGTTATTGTCCTGCATCTCCTTAATGTATCTACGAGAACAAACGATGATGGAATTAAATAACGATTTTACAAAGAAGGATATAAGTGAGTACTGACTCTAGCCCTCTCGCATGGGCGATTACGGCTTTTGCTATATCCCTTCTTGTTCTGTCATCGCATTGGTATTTCGAATTTGTGAAAATAGTCTTCCTCACGTGGTAACTGAAAATTTCTGCGTTATGTATAAAATTTGTCGTCGTTTAATAAAAATATAGCATTCTGGTACATAATTTCATAGAAAGGCACGATAAAAACATAAATTAATTAGACCTGATGACATTTATTTAACATGTGCCTTCATGTATAGCGTTTATTATCATTAATCATTAACTAAAAATCCAAATTAATTTTGAATTGTATCATTCTTCACATTGGATGCTATAATTTCGTTGAATAATATAGTTTCTATCTTTTATATTTCAAATAGTTTCAACCCAGAGCCAGTAAATTCACTATTCGAATTAATTTCCCTACATATTAAAAAATTGCTAATCTTACCAAGGAGACGATATAATTTTTTTAGAATCTCGTATCTAATCAATTTTGAAAAAAAAGATTTTGCTTATCTCGTATTAAATCAATTTTAAAGAATAGCTGAATAACACGTCCCCTGAAACACTTATCACCACTGAAACACTGATCTATTATCGTATCAGTAAAAAAACACTATTAATGTGCAATGTCACCTGGTGGATCGTACAATCGTGCACTATTTGTTACCTGGCAACTTCGCTCAAACTGGCAGCATGTTTCAGCCCGAGGATCGCAAACGTTTCCGTTCCCGTGAAGGTAGTTACCAAAATTATCAACGAGAAGTTCATATGTAGAAACGGAAGTAAATGATACTTGTCATCAAGTATCAGGTAATCCGTACTTATGGGAAATTTCTCCAGACGACTTCCGTTCGTCGGTACAATTTTCTCATAAACAAAGAGTGACGTATGATAGAGTAGAGCGTATGCTAATGAGAGAT